TCCAAACAGCCTGAGGGATCACAAGACGCATCAGCAAGTTAGTTGGAAAGCCGAAGGCTCAGGCGTGCTTATTATTCAAAGGCAAACAACTTGTTTTAAAGTAGCAGTAACATAGAGTAAACAAACCACCTGAATTATAACGAGGTGGAAGTTGGTTTCTGAATTTGGCACAAGGCTCATTCCCAGTACGTAATCTCCTTATGGTCACCTTGTTTTGGAAACTAAGTAACATGGACACAGCTGGACAATACCAGCTGGCGAAAGAATGAGCCATGAAATAGCCTGTAGGTGCCCAGAGCTAACTGTCACATTAATGACCAGTAACAAACTTGCCTGCCGTACTTTCAAGCAAAAAAAGGGTCTACTCTTACATTTGCACACGACTGCAACACCGAAAGATTTCTACTCAGAAATGAACTGAAAGGTAATTAATTTCAGAAAATGAACGACAGTTCATGTGGTTAGTAACTGTAATTGACATTTACAAGTGTTATTAATTGTAAATGTCCCTAATTGTTAGGGAAGCTTTCCTTCAGATTTTAGTGCTGTAAAAATTTAGCCAGAGCTGAGTGAAACTTAAGCTCAAACTTAAGGTACGGAGCTATTCTATATGCTAAGAGAGGTTAAAGATTTTCAACTGAAGCAAAGTCCATGGGGCATAAAAAGCCACTGGCAGCAGAATATAAACATGTTTACACAAGGAACACTTTCCTGGCAAAAAAAAGTAAATCGCAACTCCACCTTCCAATAACCTTCAACACCAGTCACGAACAGTTTTGCTACTCTCTTCAAAGTAGCGATTTTGACCCAAATGCACTGCACTTTCTTCTACCTCTGCAATCATACCTGGGACAGCTTAAAGCACAGAGATCATGTAGCCTGACCCCAGATCCTAGGAGCCCTCCTTTACTCATACGGGGGAGAGATGAATCATTAGGGTGCTGACAGCAATACCCCCGCTCTGTTTGCTGGGATCCCAGTATCAACTCTGTGGCACAGGCAGGGACTAAATGCCATTGCCTCAGACAGCATTCAACTGCCTTTCTCTTCCCTCCATTCTCTCAGTTCCTGTGCGCCTTCTGAGTACAGAGGTGAGGGACTTACAGCTTCCAACACTATCGTTTTCCATCCATGAAGCAGATCTATCCTGAGCACTCAGTGGTACAGGTATCCATGGGCATAGATCACGCAATTTAAGTCTTGCAACACATACTGACAAAGAGCACAAATGAAGAAGATGAGGCTTCTTAACTAGAGAGCTATAAAACCCCTTGTAATATTTGCACAAATAGGAACTGTGCCTACACAATGGCTTCAGTCCTACATTTGACTCCGCCAAACACAGGATTTTTAAATATCCACATAAAATCCGCACCTGGACTTACCAATTTTAAAGATGAGCATCTGCACAGCCTTTTGCAGCCAGATGCACTATTGCACTGCCTTAGCTCCAAACTACTGGGCAGGAGCCAGCACCAATCTGAAGGCATCAGGCTCACCCAGCAGTGGAATAAACACAAGTCTGTGCAGAGGGCCTTGCCGGCACAGCGTACTGTGTAGTAAGACAGCTACTCCCACGCACAAGACGGAAGGGAAAAATTTCAGAGCAAAAGCCAAATCTTCAATTGCCTGAAAAAGCACTATTCACAAACCTCATTCTTATGAATGGCTGAATGGGTCAGAAAGAATCAGCCTTTAGCTGACACAGGGCAAGTTGTTTAAACACAGCAGAGTCATACAAAACCTCAGGATTCCTCCTGAGAAGTACCAGGCAATGTTTAACTATGGGTATTGCTCGTTTCACCTCCTATGACACCACCTACAATACCAGACAACTTGGTAATCTTTAAGGTCCATTTACAGTCATCTAACTTTTGCTTATTTGCATTCCCAAATTCTAGCAATTTTAAAGCCAGAGAGCGCAATCTTTTACTAAGGCAAAGAAAGAAGAAAATTAAGAGAAAAACAAGTCACTGCGATCTAAAACTGGAAAATACAACACAATTTTTCATTACTGAAATGCATTTAGTCTATTTAACTATTTTTTCCTAATGGCACAACAAATTTTAGAAAAGTAACATCTTGAAAACCACATTTTTGTAGTGTATGTATCATTGGCTAACATGTACGCATTACAGACATTTTTAAAAGATTGTCCTATTTCTCCATGAGAAATGCTGTCATTTGTAACTTGCACATGCCTCTGTATAAACACAGATACTGAGCTACGCTGATCAAGAGTTTCCACAGCAACAGATTTATGCTAAAAGCTAGCGAATGCAGTTCCTTTTCAGCGCTCTTAGTTTTAATTATAGCAGCTAGTACATTAACCTGCTCTGCTATCCAAAGGAAAAACACTTGCCGCTATCTTTGTAGGGGCTAACACCATTTACAGTTACTAAATAATCTTACATATTAGTTGACATTTTAAGAGAGAAAAGGTTTTCTGCTTCCCCTTTTCAGTTTTCCAGCCTGGACTTCAATATGTGGATAAAATAACTAGGCTCACACACAGGTAAAGGACTACATTTGTAATCCATTCACCTGAAACCCCTTTGAGATACAGTCTACAGGGAATTACTTGCTCTCTGAGAATGCCCATCTTTCCCCTGTCATCACAGGGTGAGCCTCAGGCAACCAAATTACTAATTTAGGCACCTCAGTTAAACGCCTGCAGACAGGAGTGAGGGAATCTAAACCCTGACATCTCAACAATTCCAATTGGCCAGCATGTATCCAAAACCATGGATGCATATATACTAGTCCTGACAAGAAATATCAATATGCGCGACTGAGGCTCTGAGATGCAATTTCTTACCCAAGCAAAAATGAAAATACTAGAAGTAAACACAAATGAGTACACATGACAGTCCATGAAGACTGAAGATCACAGTTCATTTGGCAGGTGTATAATGTACAGTTTTTGTATATTGCATCATCTTTTCACCAGTGTTCAGCAAATTAAAACTAGACCTTTTATTACGACAATCAATCCTGGCCTCCTGTACAACACACAGCAGAGAATTTCACAGAATCACAGAACAGTTTGGGTTGGAAAGGACCTTTAAAGATCATCTAGTCCAACCCCCCTGCCATGGCAGGGACCTCTTTCACTAGACAACGTTGTTCGAAGCCCCATCCAGCCTGGCCTTGAACACTTCCAATGATGGGGCATCCACAACTTCCCCGGGCAACCTGTTCCAGTGTCTCACCACCCTCATTGTAAAAAATTTCTTCCTTATGTCTAATCTAAACCTACCCTCTCTTAGTTTAAAACCGTTGCCCCTTTCCCTGTTGCTACAGTCCCTGGTCCAAAGTCTCTCTCCATTATGCAGATGGGGAGACAGACCCACCACAGGAAAGCAGCGGAGGCGCTCAACTTTCAGCTTCCAACTTCTGCATAAGAAAAGAGAAACCATCACACAGTCTTCAAAAGCAAACCAAGTAAGTGAGAGACGGTATTTAGAGAGACGGGAGGGAATAAACCCCTTCCCCAGTACCTGCAGTTCCGCACGGGGTTTTTCCTGGGGAGCTTTACCGGCAAGCACAGCGTCTTCATTTCTGGGGCGTCCAAGATCAAGTGCCCGTTTTCACAGCTGACAGAAATGAGGACCAGCCGCGGCTCCTGCCGAGCTGTAACCAGTGTTCCCTCTTCCTGGGTCAAAAGCCAAAACCTGTAGCGTGACAGGGGGCGTGGGGGGGAGAGAAACGGGTTTCCAACAAGGTCGAGAGGCC